TGTTCAGAAAATATCGGGAATTTTCGTTTTTTGAAACAAATATTTATTTATTCGTCTACATTACTGTTGTCGCCTTCAAAATAGTCCCCATTGGATATTATGCACATGTGCCAGCTCTTCTTCCAATACTCGAAACACTTCTAAAACTCGATCTTTGAGATAGCCTTTAGTTCTTTCAGCGATGCGCTTTTAATATCATCTATGCTTGCAAAACGACGGCCCTTTAAGGTTCTCTTTATTTTTGGAAATAGGAAAAAGTCAGACAGAGGCATGTCTGGCGAATATGGAGGCTGGCAGTATAGTTTTTGGCCAAAAATTTTGTTCAAAATTTAACAATTTTGGAATAAATTTTGCTGCCACGCGTTTCATACCCAAAACATTCGAAAAAATTTCATGGGATGAGCCAATCGATACACCAACATCATCAGCGACTTCTCTGATGGTTTATAACCATTTCTTCCACTTTTTCCATGTTTTTATCGGTTGTTAAGGTGCTTCTGCGTTCGAGGCGTGCGTCATCTTCAACGTCTTCACGGCCATCTTGGAAACTCTTATACCACTTGTAAACTCACTTGCAGACTCACTATATGCCTTTATTAACATTTCACAGAATTTATTTTATTTTTTAAGCAAAATATCCAATACAAATTCTTTGATCCATTTCTTTTAACGAACGAAAATCGCCGAGCTCATAAAACACGTCTAACCTTAGCGGCTGCCACAGACAAAGTAAACAATGAAAACAGCTAAAGTTTTTATCATACTTCGGGGGCATGTATACCAACATAATAAAGAAAATTTTATGACAACCGAACCCTCCGAAGCCGCGAAATTTAACAATTCCCGTTATTTTCTGAACACATCTCGTATTGCAGACAGCGCACTCTACAACCTATATTCATTTTTGTAATAAATTTAATTTCCCTGTCCTGAATACCCCGGATTATCAAAGTTCAAAGTTATTTAATAGAATCAAAAACGAAGTTTCAACTTTGACACCCTGTATCTTGGCTATTATCAACATTTGTTTAGAGGTAACTTTAGTTATATCACATTATTTTGGTCTCAAGAATATGTGGTATTATTTTGTACAGACATTTCAGGAACACCTTGTATATAGGAAATTAGTTTTTTTAAGCAAATATATAACCGTGGGGTATAATATTTTACAATAAAATTATTACCAACTCGTAGCACATCTAATAGTGAACAAAATTATACCTCATAAGATATTACTTGGTTATTTTTAAGTTAAAAATTTTAACTTTTAGAAACAGTTACTTTCTAATGCTGTGAGATTTCCAATTAAAAATTACATAGGTAGGTACCTAAATTATATAGATTTTTCTTATTCCGAAAACTACATAAAATTAAGACTTATTTACTGATACTTAACGTTTAATTAAATAAAAAAAATATAAGTAATTTATTTGAACATAAGTCGGCAAATAAACGGTAAACGGTTTGAGATAATATAATGTATTTCCGGGTAATATACATACCTATATGTATTTTTATTAATATTTCTTGTTAAATATATGAATTTAAAAAAGAAAAAAGCCTTTGTTTTTAAATTTATTAATTTATTTTTATTGGAAAATGGTAAATTTTTATCAATGTTCAACAAGAGAACTGTTTTTACGTAGAAAACTCAAAATTTTTATATTCTGCAGCCAATATGGAAAAAATTGCACACCAAATATTTGTGGATAAAAATACCCTAGGCTGCCTGTTTAATCCACTCATAAATATAAAAATTTCTTCCTACACATTCTTATTCTTCCTACATTTTTGTTTTACTCTTTTCTATAGAGGGCGTGGCAATATTATGTTAATTTAAAATAAAAAAATAAGATTTTCACAATTGTAATTAACTTGCTATAAAATAAATGAGCTAATAAATTCTAATATTAGCAAATTATAAATTAAATTAATAATATTAAATTACCATCATTATAGATTTCTAACTGTGTGTACATGCCGCTGTCTGTTTTACATACTTCGACACATATACAAATCATTTTTAACTGAGACTGTTTCCTTTTCGTGGGGTGAAGTAGGGGAAAATACCCGTTTGATTGCATTGAGGGGGATGCGTGGCGGCATTGCAAGTTTTAAAAAAATACCATATTTTCGTCCCTATCTGGGAAATATAATACCTACTTTTTAATAAATTGTATATGAATTGTAAAAAAAATATTTATTTATTGCTTTAACGGGAAAACTCCATTACAATATAAAACAGTATATATGAAGGTTATGTCCTACAAAGTAGACAATTAAGCCCGCTGCACAATACCCCGGTAACGAGAACCGGAACGGGAACCTAAACGGTAAAGGTGGGAGAGACTCAGCAAACACTATCTATCAACAGTGGTTTCTTAGTCTCTTCCATCTTTACTGTTCAGATTCCCGTTGCCGTACCGGGCATTATTCTAAAAATAAGTAACAAATTCTTTAAGCAATAATAAACACACAAAATGATGATATTTTAGATTTTATAATGGCATGTTTATAACAGCAAGAATTGGCAACGTCGTATTTCGGCCACGATAGCCAAAAGGTTTTTATCATAGACATTAATATGTAGATGGTTTTTATAATTAACCATTTTGTTTGTTTTCTGTTGTATACCAATTGTTTTGGCATTGTTTTTTTCCATTGTGTTTAAGAGATTTTTACATAATATGCACATTATGCCACATTTTGCTTTTTATAAAGCCAAACCACTGAAATTTATGTAAGCTTAACCTAGGCGATGTAGGCAAATAATGCACAGAGTTTAACGGCGACCATTTTTGTTATTTACAATTCTTGTTTATGTGAGTTTTAGTACAAGATAGAACAGAGTCTGTTCTATCTTGTACCAAAAATCACATGAACAAAAATTGTAAATAACAAAAATGGTCGCCGTTAAACTCTGTGCATTATTAATATGTTCAACAATTCGTATCATACGTGGACGTATTAATATGTCTATGGTATCATATATTTTAAATCCCCCACTTATGAACTGACTATGCGCATAAGGATCTTACCATACAGCAAATAAACAAATTTCCCCTCAAAAAAGGAAACAAGGTCATATATACAAAATATAGCGAATAAGCAGTGGAAGTATGTGGTCTGTTTTGTAGATTACATGCAAGTCAAAAATAAATAATTTTAAATGTCAAAATTTGCTGTTTACTTTTTTAGTATTTTATTGCAGTCACGTTGTGTAGGAAGAAAAATAACGTGTACACCAAGGCGGTAAAGTGATTTTTTCAGGCTTTAGGAACTGTCCAGGCTCACTAAAGCTCTCCTGTACATTGTTACTTTACCGCCTAACTATTGAATTTTGTTGTTATTTTTAAATTCAGCATAAAAAGTTATGTAAGCATGCAAAATTTCATTATTTTATCTCAAACCGTTTCGGAAATGATTATAAAAAAGGGGCGCCCCTTCAAGAGGCTGCAGCTCCCTTAGGGGTCATTTGCCGACCTATGTTTATAAGATTTCTTCCTATGTTTGTCCACTTGTAGAGTTACACACTATTTTCGGGAAACCCAGAATATATTAAAATTCAAAAAATTAGTTTTTCTATCCAAATGTACAAAAAATGTATAGTGTTGTTTAATTTAAAAAAAAGCCTGTGTAATATTTTGCAATATAGTATATTACACTACAAGGACAGAAAGTGTGAGATTCATGGCGCGCAGTTCAGGGCTTTCACACTTTCTGCCCGTGTAGTGTATACTATTTTTCTTGCTACCCGGCCGAAAATACAACCCAACCCAACCCGGCCGAAAATACGGGAAAAAATTAAATGTGTAATCGAAACATATTGATGCCTGCCCCGACATTTGCGGCACGAGCGAAGCCTTCGTAGCCCTTGTAGTGTAATATACTCGAAAATACGTTGTTCCGTCCCCGATTACAATGCATCAAGCGTAAATTTGACCAATGCATCAAACGTTAACTTTCTGCCGTGGAATCGGGGACGAAACAACGTATTTTCGGCCAAGGTAGTAAGAAAAAATTATTACCAACGTGTAGCTTAATTATTAATAAAAAAATTTTGCTTGGTTATTTTTAACTTTCAGCAAAGTTGCTACATTTGAAGAAAATTTGTTTAATCTTAAGTTTACTAAAAAAGAACTAAATCTTACTTAACTAATATATTTTTAAAGTATAACTCAAAAAGTACTAAATCTTACTTAACTAATATACTTTTAAAGTATAACTTAAAAAGTGTATAGAATCCAAAAATGCAAAAAATACAGGATGTTTCATTGGAAATAAGAAAGTTGGTATTCTCCCAGGGAAAACCAAACACACTATGAATAAAAAAATATAATATTAAATTCATGGATTTTTGTTCTCTACAATTTTTTTATTACTCCAGTAGTTTCTGAGATAAGTATATGGGTTACCTAAAGTGTGGTTTACCTTGTACCTTTAAAGCCTGCTGCACAATAGCCCGGTTACGGGAACTGTAATCTTAACATAAAAGGTGGGAGAGACTTACAAACCACTGTTGATAGATAGGGTTCGCTGAGTCTCTCCCACCCTTACCGTTTAGGTTCCCGTTCCCGTTACCGGGCTGTTGTGCAGCGGGCTCTAAGTGTACAATATCATTTAAATTTAAAAATTCTAAAAAAAATCCTTAAAATTGACGAGGCATTTACATTCTATTTAGGCCCTAAATAGAATGTAAGTGGGTAACCCTAAATTTTTGGGTTACCTTCTTATTAAGTTGATAACTTATTTTGTATTTTCATTTTTTTAACTTCATAAGTAAATATTTTGCTCTGCTTTGATCTAAATCGATTAAGGTCTCTTCAAAAAATAGGGAGGAGCAGGTAAGCAGAGACCAAATAGGGTTTTAGAAGTAAGCCATCAATTTAATAATAAGTTGTTTAAAAGGAGTGAACACAAATAGTTGATCTAGTCACATGAGTTTCTTTAAACTTTATTTCAATTAGCAAACCAAATTTACAACAAAAAATGTGAATTACCTTTTTTATTGGACCATAAACTTCAAACTCTCTTCTTAGCTTGGATTCTGAAGTATCATAGTTCTAAAAAACGTTTTAGAAAAGACTGTTAGTTATTGGGTAGGTATTGATAGGTAGGGTATCCCAAACTGACATTTCAGTGAAACAAAATAGTATATTATTATACGAGAGATAATGCAGGCTATTATTCACAAGGATGAGGTTTGCATCTCGAGCCGTCAGGCGAGAGACTTAATCATCCGAGTAAATAATGCGCATTATTTCGAATGTAATACTATGCTTTTTCTACTACAATTAAGTAATTTTCATTGATACAAAAATTTATTATAACCTCCCTTTTTCCCGATTTTAAAGATCATTATAGTCGCCCCTCGTATATATAAACAAATCTGACATCTGATAACCATACTTTTTCCCAATTTAAAACCCAATTGGTTCAAATAACAGTGCATATTGATCAGTATTCCCGTTGTTAGGCCGGCGGTTATATTGGTTACCATTATTTACGAAAAAAACAAGGAATGTCAATAATATGCAATAGGAGTAGAAAAACTATATAACTAGATAATAACTTCATAACTAATAACACTGTGCGACAAAATAAGGGTCAACATTTCTCAGACGAAATCTGTTCACTAATTATGGAAGAATGCCTCCCCAAAAACATATTCCCTGAAGGATTTTGTTCGATTAGTTCGCGTTTTCAAGTAATTATTATTTAAACAAAAAAATTCAGTGACCGGCAAAAGTATGGGACAAATTCATTTAAAAAATTTCTTTTTTATTTAAAAAAAAATCCTTGAACTGTTTACTGATTATGAAATAGTGCCACCCCAAAAACATATTCCTTTAAGGATTTCTTTCCATTAGTTCGCGTTTTGAAGTAATTGTTATTTAAACAAAAAAAATTAATGACCGACAAAAGTATAGAACAAATTCATTTAAAATTTCCCTTTTTATTTAAAAAAAAATCCTTGAACACGTCGATTTTGTTTTTCAATTCAGCACATTTTGATGTAAAATTTTGAAGATGATAAAGAGGACTTAATTTCAAATTCTTCTTGGAGCAATGACGATTCCGATGAAAGCGAGGAGCATTTAAATGAAAATAGAGAAGCTAATAAGAAACGCTATAAATGAAAATTAATCGTTCTGTATATTGTTCTTTGCTTTTTCTTATATTTTAGATGCAAAATCTGCTTCCTAATTTGTAAATTTGTAATTTTAAGTTTGTTGTTTAGTTTTGTCAAAACATCATTAAAAACTATACATTTTCTACTTTTAATGATTAATATTTTCAAAACTATCAGCCCAAAAGGTTTACATACGCATATTACTAAAATCTGAATTTTATAATCTATTCGAATCTACAAAAAAAAGTGGGTGACCAATTTAAAAAAAAATGGTCGACGTCATTGCTTTTACAAAAATGTCGGAAAATATTAAAATTTTATATGAAAATGTGCGGAATTGAAAAACAAAATAGACGTGTTCAAGGATTTTTTTTTAAATAAAAAGGGAATTTTTAAATGAATTTGTTCTATTGTCGGTAGTGTTGTCACTGAAAAAAAACACTCTTGTTTTTTTTCAAAAAAAAATGTTTTTTTTTTGAAAAAAAACAGAGGTCCTTGTTTTTTTTCAAAAAAAATGTTTTTTTTCAAAGAAATGGTCAAAAATACTCAAATTATATTAAGTGACAGGATTTTCGAAATGTCACTGCTGAGGAAAGAATTTTTGGCACATTCTGTCACTAGAAGATTATTAAATACTAATTATAGTTTCTTACTTACCATTAGTAATATTCTTAAACAAATTGTTTAACGTTGTTGGCTTTCGCCCTGAGCCTTTTCTTTGCGGCATTTCTACCAACTATGCATCAACCTATAAATCCGCAGGTCTTAACTCTTCTATTATAATACCGTATAGACTATACGATATGCTAAGTCAGCATTGCCGACAGCGAGGCGCCCTTTTACCATACGTGGGTGAGAATGAAAAAAAACAACTTTTGTTTTTTTTCAGTGAAAAAAAACATGTTTTTTTTCACGTGTTTTTTTTCAACTGAAAAAAAAAACGTTTTTTTTTACAACACTAATTGTCGGTCATTAATTTTTTTTGTTTAAATAACAATTACTTCAAAACGCGAACTAATGGAAAGAAATCCTTAAAGGAATATGTTTTTGGGGTGGCACTATTTCATAATCAGTAAACAGATATTATCTGAGATTTTTACTGTCGCACAGTGAAATTATAAAGATGCTTTAAATTAATATAATGAAAACAGTGTTTACAAAAATGCCACTCCTAAAAATTCATCTCTTTACCCAAAAAAATTAAATAACATTCCTGTAATTATATTACATTGTCTTGCAGGATTCCCTAAACCAAACCAATAGATGACTATCTTAAAGAGTATATAGTTTGGAGCCAAAAGAAACGCCCTCTCTGAACTTGGTTAAAAATTAAATTACATGTTTACAGGCAACTGTTGCCAACATAGCTTTTAATTGGTGGAAAATCAACGTATTTGATTGGTTACTTAAATGGCGCTATATTTAAAATCCAACTTGTGGCTAGATTTTAAATGTAATTAGTAACGAAAACAATAACTTTGTTTTCTACCATGTATTTAAGGTACTTCTGTGGTTATGCTTTTTCAATTCTCAATCAACTTTTATAAACTAAAGAAATTCGCAGATTTATGGAAAAGCAATGAGGAAAACAAATGTATGTAAATGTAAAACAAGTGTATTTAGTATTTTGTAAAATCTGATTTTTTTAATTTGTAAAACTCGTTGAATTGTTTTTGTTATGTATGATGGTCCAAAGATAAATAAAGATGTATTATCTTTGTGATGGTCTACCAAAAGCAATTGTTTAATAAAATTTATGGATTTAACAGTATTCTTTAATTTCAAAATATTGATCAATGAGACAGTTAACTGTCTCATTGATCATTATTTTAAAATTGAAGAATACTGTTAAATCCATAAAGATTATTAAACAATACATGCCTACCATCTGAAAGATTATGATTCGGTCAAAGTGTCGTTTATAAATTATTATTATAATACAAATCTTAGAAACAATTTACAATAAAAACACACAAATACACAAAATCTTACAAAAATTCGATAACTACGGATATAATTGAACGTCAAAAAGGTCAAAAACGTCAAAAAATTATAAAATCCGCGCCCTCTCTTGGCTTGCCTAAATATTATAATACTGTCCCCACAATCCACACAACAAGGTCCCTTGTTGTGTGGATTGTGACTGTCCTGACATCCGACATAAGATATATTTATCCAATGGTTTGGTCTAGGGAGCTATATAAAAAATCTTTATTGTCAAATCTAACGTAAGAAAAATGTAGCCCTCTTGGCTTGGCTAAATATTATAATACTGTCCCGACATCCGACATAAGATATTTATGTATTGGTTTGGTCTAGGTAGGATTCACAATTATCTCTTCAATACTTCGGCGATTAACAAATATATAACCAGTTTGTTTAAAATAAAACAAAAAGAATATTTTAAACAAAAAACTAATAACAATAAAAAATCTGACTGTAACAAGTTTTACAGATGTCAAGTATGTTTAATCTTCAAGCATTCTATAATTTAAACTTTATTATTGTCAACACTCACTACTAAAGTAATTGATTATTGCTTACAAGGTAGGTTACCTATATAAAAACAAATTTGAATAACAAGCCCTTTGAATGAAAATTTAAATTAAAAAAAAAACAGCGGTTATCAAAATATTTGAAAAAAACAAATATTGTTATAACTTCGTTTTTCATGGAAATTGTCTTTATAATGGCATAACTTATGCTTACTATATAGCAGGGTTCGCCCGATTTAAATCACGATTTAAATCAAGTGATTTTTTTATTTTAATCAATGATTAAATAAACTAATATGCATAGAAAAACTGCTTACTTTGTTAAATAAAATAATAAAGGAATATAAAAAAAATATTTGACAGTTGCGGATGGTGGTTTATTTGTTTATAAAGTAGTGCCAATATAATTTTATTATAGTCAAGATATTTTTAGTATTTTTTTAATAGTACTTACACTTTATTAAAAAAAGCTTATAATTTAAAATCAAAAAAAAGTAATTTTTTGAATTTTTTATTAAAAATTATCGATTTTTGATTTTTTTTAAATCATGATTTTTTCGAACCCTGCTATATAAGTTGGATACATTTATTTTTTTTCCAACCATAGAAAAAGCAAAAGATGGTGGTAATGAGTAAAAATCTAATAGGCAAACAAAATCACAAATTGGATAATAATGTATATAACATTTATATAATTATATTATAAATGTGTATGTTTACATGTAAAGTTTTCTTTTTTAAAAATTCACAGAAAAAACGAATTTATAACGCCTTTTGGTTTTGACAGATTTAATTTTTATTTGAGGACCGATAATTTTTTCTTCAATTTTTGCCATTTTAATAGACTTAACTTTTCTCTTAACCGACTTGTAGCTCTTTAAATAAAAAAGATACCAACCCATACATAGAATTTATACCCTGTATATTTTTTAAACTTTATTTTTCAATATAACTAGAGTCTGGCTAAATCAGTTTGGGACACCTTTTATATTATAAAGGTTCAGAGTCATCAGAAAACTTTTTTAAAACTCTAAAACAATTTTGTCTTTTTCTTCAAAATTTAAAAATTTGAGCAAGATAGCAATTTTAAGCCTATTCTGCCCTACTATGGAGAAAGGCAGTAACTGCAAAAAAATGCAAAATGCGTTTTCTTGTGCTATGGTAAAGGTATGGACATTTTGTAACCGAATTCAACACAGAAATGAAGTCAAATATCTCATAAGTTAAAAAATTAATTAAATACCTAGGTACTGCTTTTTATAAAAATGTACTGTCCGTTCAGGCTAAGTTGAGCGGTCTAAGGAATGTCACCCCGTCCATCATCTCTATGTTCAGGTACAATTAAATACAAGTATTTCGGTAGCCGCTCTGTACGAACAAACGTCAAGCCGCGGCACGGATAAACCATCTTTTTGTTACCGAAATCTCGCGACGATTCGATGTTTAATTTAATTAACGGCCCTATGATCCCCCACCAAAGCGCTCAACTTAGCCTGAACGGACTGTAGTTTATGATAATTTTCCACAAATTTCTTGTTAAGCAGTTACTGCCTTTCTCCATAGTAGGGCAGTATTAAAGTGCGCCAATTTCAGCGTAATATGTGAATATTTCAACTACATTTTCTGAACAAAGGCTTCAGATTCCACCATTGGAAAAACTTCAAAAAAACAAAACCTTCAAATCCCTTAAGGAATTCCTAATTATAAGGTTTTTTTTAACTGAGACTTGGTATGCCACACTGTAGAAAAAATATTTTTTTAACGAACAGTTTTTAAGTTATAAAGGTTTAAAAATTAAATTTTATTTTTGTTATTTTAATGTTTGAAGACTATTTATTGATATAAAAGGAGAAAAAACAATTTTTTAAAGAACTTCAAAAAAGAGTTAAAATTTGTTAATAATAACTAAGTTAAGATATAGGCCTGATAGTTGCCTAGTTGTTATAACAATATTTTATAAAGGCTTTGTGTGTCCGACTTTTTTAAACTTAGATGCTTAATAACTTAAAAATTGTTTTGTAATAATTAATGTTACAAATATGTTAAAATATCCTCCCCTACAGCTGGCATATTGTAAGTTCGCCATTTTCGGGATACCATTTTAGGAACATAATTAAATTAACTGTATGGTTTAAGTTTAGCTATACTATATTCATTAAAACAAAAATATAAATGAATATAGTATACAGTACAATTTAAACTTAAACTTAAAATTTAAACTTCTTTATATTATAAACTAAGGGGGCGTCCATTAATTACGTGAGGTGTTTAGGGGGGGAGGGGGTCGAGCCAAACCTCACCCAATCTCACGTGGGGGGGAGGGTGGTCTCGGCAAATATCACGTAATTTTTTCTTTTCGAATGAAACAGTGTAAAATTGCGAGAAAACTGGGTTAAATTAAGTAAACAATTATAACAATTGTTTTTTTAAATAAATCGAATGGAATCAATCACAGATTAACTTATTTATATTAAAACCATGCATTTTAAAAAATCTCACGACATCTCACCAAGGGGAGGGGGGAGTCGAAAAATCGCAAAAATTGCCTCACGTAATTAATGGACGACCCCTACGCCTCAAATAAAAGTCATCTTTAGAAAGTTTAAGCAAAATTTTTTATAACAGTGTGGCGTGCAGGACGGGCCCCGCAGGACCCGCGGTGCGGGGGGGCCCCGACTTTAGGGGGGCCCCGTAGAGAACCAAATTGAGTGGTATAAGTGACAAAGGGGCCACAGCTCAAAATTTGCGGGGGGGGGCCCGATCACCTTTGCACGCCACTGACTGTGTCTATAATTATAAGTAATAATCTTACAATTCTGGCAACAAATAGGGTTTTGAAAGGATCTCCAGTAATATTTTCTGCTGATGATGGGTCCCAAACAGCTATTTCCTGCTCTAATTTGTAGGCCACTTGTTCAGCTCTTTCCCTTCGCCTTCTTTCTATTCTTTCTTCTCTAGTTTCTACTCTTGTTGGAGGAGGAGTATCTTTGGGATCCTTAAAACAATTATAAAAATTACTACATGGACTTTTAAAAAAATGTCTACACTGTATACAAATGTGACGCGATCCGAGAAAAGGGACCTAGTATCCAAAATCTGATTGTCGAGATTACCAATATATTATATATACTGGTAAACGATCTTTCGAAAGTTCCAGATAGAATTAATTTAACTAAAAAATTGACATTGCTTTAATAGCTTCTCCTGTAAAACTTAGTTCGGCGTATTGCGGCAGGTATCGGCAGAAGATCGGCCGATGTCGGTAGTGCTGAAGTGTGGCAGTCCGTTTCATTATTCTTCCACTTATTAAGGAACTTCCAAATATAAAGGCACGATTTTTGAGAGCTGATTTTATAACTTAATTTTGGGTATGTTTACACAGATGTCCACTCTGTGCCACACTTCGGCACTACCGACATCGACCGATCTACAATATTGTAGGTAAAAATTAAATATACTATTTGTTATAATAAAATGGACTAAAATTCATAAATATTTCTTATTAACTTACATTTAATACTTTTTTTAGATCAAGAACACAATGATATTAATTCTCTAATGACGATGATGATTTAATTGTCTTTATATAGCGCAAGCTTTTGACAATATAATTTATATTAATAATTAATATTAATTATTAATAACATTAACTTTCGTTAAAAGGGCTCGAAGATATCGATGAACTTTCTGATGCTATAGCATTTAGGCTAGCAGCTGCAGAAAAAGATTTATTTCTTAATAGTGATGAACAAATTTACAATGCGATATATTTATGGTAAGGGGCTGTCAATGGCATTAAAAAGAACCCTTTGGTCTGCTATCATGACCAGAAAAGCAATAATTAAAAATGGCTCAGACTATTACAAATATTTAGTATCAAAAGATATCAATCGATTGCATATTCTCTTTGTCGCAGTTGCCGATATTGATAACCCTGCTTAAAATACCCCATAGAGACCCTGTTCAAACCGATAGATATTTGTATCGGAATGTATGGTGATTCTATAGGGTGTATTGGTATGTATAGGACCCATAGTTGGGTGTTATGGTTGTTCTATAGGGATATCCACCCTTGATTTATTTGCTATTGGTTTCAATGGGGAAAATACACATAAATGTAGAAATTAGTTTTTCCCCATAGGACCCCATAGGTTTTAATAAAATTTTGTCAAATGTTTTATGGTTGCTCTATAGGGATATCCCTATATATCCTGCATTGAGTTATTTGCTATCGGTCTCAATAGGAAAAATGTAAAAGTTATGGTGTGCCTATAGGTAATTTCCTATAAATTTTCTATCGGGAAGTATACGGAAAAAACCATGGACAAATGCACATATTGAATCCGGTAGCTCCCGATATATTATTTTGTATAGGTCTCTATGGAATATTTTAAGCAGGGAATCATCTCATCGTGAAAACATTTACAAAATATGTCAATTTGCTAAACCAATTCAATACATAAAGAGACACCACTATTTTAAATCCCAAGGATATAAACGCATTAATTATGCTCTGATATGAAAATGTTATAAACTGAAGGAAAAAAATATATTGACACAAGAAGGAAAGTTAAGGTACTCTGATATGTTGTGATAGTGAACGGAAATTAAATGTTAAACCTAAATTAATGGTTTAGCCAAGTACAAACGCTTTAGGTAGTGCTATTTCCTCTCATGTACTTGGCTAAACCATTAATTTAGGTTTAACATTTAATTTCCGTTCACTATCACAACATATCAGAGTACCTTAACTTTCCTTCTTGTGTCAATACAAAAAGATCTCAAAAGATCTCAAGAATGAGCCATTCCATGCCAAATCAACACACTTTAAAAAGAAATTTTTCCTCACCATTTCAGATTTTCCTAAAATTTGGTATACTTATACTATGTACTAAGAGTAAGAAAAATACCAATTTTTAAATTTTTATCTCACACCGTTTCCGATATATGGCTATGTAAAGTTTTTAAAAACTCCCGAAAAAAGTGTGAACGTTTATTTTTTAAATTGCGCTGGAAGCTGTCCTAATTTAGTTAGAAAGCTGGGAGAGGTGTCATTTTGCAGCATTTTAAATGCTCTTTCAAATGACATACGACTGCCAAGGGTATTAATGAAAAGATTTTGTTCAAAATCCATATATATATTTTGATTTAATTTTTTTTTTTAAAGTACATAATTTAAAATTCTCAAAATATTTGTATAAATACTTGGTAGTGTTCTGAATCATATAATAAAATATTAATGTGGGGTCTTAATGGGTTCATTGTTAAAAAAAATATTTCTGATGCTGGTTTTTCACTTTTAACTAATTTTGACATTATTCAACGTTTATCAGGCTTAAGCCTGACAATTGTATTTTTTTTTTATAATATCGGCATCATTCCCGACTTGTGTAATTTAATTACTGTGATACGCTTGTTTTGGCGATTCATATTGAACTAAATTTTAAACAAAACAACATAAAATGAATATTTTCAAAAATATAAGGGTTCTGAGAACCCTAATAATATCGGCTGCCTACATTCCCGACTTTTTTAATTCAATTACTGTGATACGCTTTTTTTGGCGATTCATATTGAACTAAATTTTAAACAGAACAACATAAAATGAATATTTTCAGAATTGAAAGGGTTCTAGGAACCTGCTCGAGCAAACAATTTCCGCGAAAACCTTATTGATAAATTTTAAACTCGCTTAAAAAAAATTCAGGGAACTTTTATCGGACCCTGTATATATTCGTAGTTTATTTAAAAATAAAACTATAAATGAGGTGTGTTTAAAGTGATTTTGGTGTCAACATGGAGCCTACTATTGTAAGAGTGCAGTGTTATAATCCAATGAAAAAAACAAATCATTTTATTAGAGACAGAAAAAAACTGAGAAAAGTCCCAGCATGGATGACTGGATTATTTCCACAAATGCCTATTGGCTCCATGATTTGTCATACGGTATGACTCATACCTGCCGGAAAGATGTAACGAAACTGTCAAAATTAGTTAAGTGAAAAACCAGCATCACAAATATTTTTTTTTAACATGAACCCATTAAGACCCCACTGTGGGGTCCCCACATTTATATTTTACTATATGGTTTAAAACAGTACTAAGTATTTATACAAATATTTTGAGAATTTTAAATTATGTACTTTTTGAAAAAAAATTGAATCAAAATATATATATGGATTTTGAACAAAATCTTTTATTAATACCCTTGGCGTTCGTATGTCATTTGAAAGAGCATTTAAAATGCTGCAAAATGACACCTCTCCCAGCTTTCTAGCTGAATTAGGACAGCTTCCAGAGGAATTTAAAAAATACACGTTCACACTTTTTTCGCGAGTTTTTAAAAACTTTACATAGCCATATATCGGAAACGGTGTGAGATAAAAATTTAAAAATTGGTATTTTTCTTAGTCTTAGTACATAGTATAAGTATACAAAATTTTAAGAAAATCTGAGGTGGTGTGGTAAAATGGGTGTGTTGAGTTGACATGGACTGACCCGAATGGAACTTACATCATAGTTAAATTAGAGGCAAAAGGAAAAAAAGGTCAAATGAAAGACCACACATATGTAGCAGTGTGTCAAAATCAGAAAGATAAAGACAATTAAATAAAAGTCGACTTTAGACAATGAAAATCTTTTCACCATAGACCAAACAGATGTGTCATTTGTCCATGTGGATCAAATCGTTGAAATCCCACCTGTTATCCAGCTGTTGGAAGAAAGAATTTTCTACCAATTTCCAAAAATATTAACGTTTAAAGAAAAAATAGACTTAAAGACGTTTTTGTTATTAATAACTTGATTTTATTGGTAGGTACCTATTTTCACATATTTTGTACTTTCCCACCAGTCACAAAGACTTGTCTCACCAGTTACAATTTGAAATATTTTTTTAATTTTAAATGGTTTGGCTAAAATTTGTGTTTGAGTGTCCCACCAGCAACCCATTATTCAAATAATAGTTTTACAGAATACAGGGTGTTCCGAAATTAGTGCACCATACTTTAACAACAGATTCCACGTGCAAAAATAAGAAAAAAAGTCCCTATAAATATAGATCGAGAAATGCCTCCTAAGGGAGCTACAGCCCCCGAAAAGGGAGCCCCTGAATATGGTTTTTATTTAATATTTATAAAAAAGTAGAAACACCCTGTCACTTACTACATGAAACTGTCACCTGTCTTGAATTATTTTATTTTTTCCTAAACATGGCAGTCGTACTCCAAGGACCACGCGAGTCTATTTCTATGGTTGTGATTTAATTGTGAATTTTTATGCTATGTAAAATAATTTTCAAATCGATTTTAAGCGAAAACGGTGTATGTTAACGAAGTTCAACAAGATGACCTTTTTTATGTGCAAAACTCCAAAATTTCATAATCTGACATCAAATTCTGGTACAAGATACGTACAAAAAAGTTAATTAACCTTAAGGTGGTTTTAACCCCACTTTCTATCAATCTGACCCAAACCTCATGAAATTTTTTAAATTGTTATTATTACGTCTTATTGGTCATAAAAAGTTTAATTAATTCCTTAAATTTCACTTTTCTATCTTTAACGGTTTTGGAGATAATAAATAAAAACCATCTTCAGGGGCTTTCCTTTTGGGGGCTGTAGCTCCCTTAAGAGGCATTTCTTGACCTATGTTTATAGGGACTTTTTTTCTTATTTTTGCACGTAAAATCTGCTGTTAAAGTATGGTGCACTAATTTCAGGACACCCTGTATAGAAACTGTTTGGCTTATATACAGGGTGTCCCAAAAGTCAACGATATCCTTTGAAGGACTAATAGGTCAGCTCATGACTAATCAGATTATCAAAACATGACCTAAGTAAAAAATCATTAGTTTTTAAGATATTGGCATTTTTATGAATTTTGTGAAACTTGACACATAAAATCAGTTTTTTTAGTGCCACAACTACAACATTCTATATTCTTAGATTATATTTTATTTTGCGTAACCCTGAATAGGACTGCTATTAATTACAATTCAAAATTAAATTAATAGTAGATTTTGTAGCTGTGGCACTCGAAAAACTGATCTAAGGTGTCAAGTTTTACAAAATTCAAATAAATGACTAACTCAAAAACTAACAATTTTTTACTAAGCGGCCATTCCAAGCCCATGGACAGGACACATCAAAACATGTCTAAATTATATTCTTGTTACTTCCTTAAGTTTACTTATTTTTTCTACGAGTATTTATGAGAAGTATTAGCCAACTTTGGCTAATACTTCTCATAAATACTCGTAGAAAAAATAAGTAAACTTAAGGAAGTAACAAGAATATAATTTAGACATGTTTTGATGTGTCCTGTCCATGGGCTTGGAATGGCCGTAAGGTCTTATTTTGATTTTTTGCTTAGTCATGAGTTGGTCTATCAGTCCTCCAAAGGATATCGTTGACTTTTGGGACACCCTGTATATTGTACTATACTATAGTAGTATACTATACTATAATAGTTAGGTATTTACCTATGTAGGTATTTATCTAAGTCTATCTTATAACAGAGTTATAAGTTATAACTCATAGTTGGTTAAATTCTGGAGTCAAATGTGCCACCAGTCACAATAAAATGCCCCTGATAGAGATATTCTGCCAAGTTGTTTCCTTGTCTGTGCCAATCATGTGCCTTGCACCATAAGTGAGAATATTCCTTAAATGCTGGGCAGAAATATTCGGCGTTATGTAAATATATCAAATGCTTAGTAGATTAAATAAATACTTGGTAGAAATAATAAGTGCTATAGCTAGTTATAGCTTGGTTGGTTGGTTTTATTTATGTATTGTCAGCCATCCATTATTAATATCAAAGTGGCTATTTATACGTCCGACGTATACAAAATTTGGTATACGTCTTGAGCTTTCATTGTTGAGTTTGGGTTGGTTTCGCTCACTGTCAATCAACTTAAATGGGCAAAAGTGAGCGAAACCAACCCAAACCAACCCAAACTCAACAACCCAACCCAACCGACCCCGCCCCATTGGGCCCCCCGCCCCATAGAGGAATAGAGGCCATTAGGAGTCGTCAAATAAGTTGTACATTTGGCAACATGGTATTGTCCGGGTGCTACAATTAATCGTTCCTAATTTTCCTTCTATACGAATAAATAATTAATATAACGCGTATTATACCTGTAATAATACACAAATTCACCAACAACAAACTAAAAAGCTTGGATCATAGAACAATCACATTGTTGACAAGACGGCCAAGTGCGCCATGATGGTCAAGTGAATAAACTAGCCAATGAAAGCACAAGACGTATACCAAATTTTGTATACGTCGGACGTATAAATAGCCAGTTTGTATTAATATTGATGAATGATATTTGACAGTGCATATCTAACATTAATTTCCACTGAGCAAATATCCATTAAAATGTGTAGCAGTTTATTCATTTTCAAAACTTCTATATTTTCCAGTTAACTCTTCTATCTAGTGCATTTTGATTTCTGGCAACCACTCCAAAAACACCAACAATAAAATTGTTTAGTCCAATTTTATTTATTGGAAATTTTATTTCAATTCATTTCATCAAATTTTAAATAAACTTCTGAAATTTAATTGAGTCACAAATATTGATATGTTTTAATATTTATATTTATTTATACTCCAAAGGAGTGGTTTTAAATTGATATTTTGAGTAATAAATAAATAATAGTATTTATTTCTATTTAAATTAATTTATTTAAATTTGGAATGTAGTTTTATTATTTTTATTCAATAAAAACCTACCTCAAATCCTTTCAAAAATGATCCAACGCCTAAATATCCCCTAGATTTTTTTTCATGTGGTAATTTAGATACTGGTGGTAAGTATGGAATTGGATCGCGCGGAGCAAATAGAGCCAATAAATTTGGTGGTAGAAACTGAGTCATTTTATGAATTATTTCAAATCATCACCAAAACACATCAAAACTGAAGTTAAAATGGCGTCCACTACTATTTGATTCCACACATCTGCGTGAAACCACAGCATATTACTTTTCTGTTGGCAATAGTGCAATATATGTTTACCAACCAGTGTTGCCAATTCTATGGAATGCTTCCCCACCAAAATGCACTCATAGTGCACTAAACCGCTAGATAACCGCCAAATTTGATATGGGCAAAAACCGCCAAATAAATCATGGTCAATAAACTATGTGTTGGTGTATTATCAAAACAAAATATTTAAAAATAATAGAACAAAATAATTTTTTATAAAATTACTTGATAAATTGTTTTGATAAATTTGCATCATAGAACCATAGAAAAAGTATATAGAACCATATACCTATAACTATAGTTATAGGTATTTGCATAGAACAAACCATGCATGTGCATAGAAATATTGACGTTGACTTTGTCTTTGTCTCTGTAATCTCTCATTGTCAAATTGTTAAAGAGCGTCCACCAAAGACAGGTAGGGACCTTTTTATTCAATCGTAGTGACCTACCGTAGGAAAAGAGCCTACTATCCCACACAAGCCGGCAACGCTGCAAAAAAGCAGAACTACCAACAGAAGAAAAATATAACCAGTTCTAACAATTTTCATGTAAAGTCGTTTTTTCGCGTAAATACTATGTAATACTACGGTTAAATAAGTCATGACCTCACAGTTAATTCATATAACCATGGTTAGGTTTTATGTTCTGTGTAGAGTCGTTTTTTCGCGTAAATACCATGAAATACTATGGGCCGGTTTTTCAATCGTTGGTTAAGTTTATATTACGGTTAACTTTCTTAGATACTATTGTGTCAACAATAGTATCTAAGGAAATTAACCGTAAGATAAACTTAACCAACGATTGTAAAACCGGCCCTATGGTTATTAAACTTAACCTTGGTTAATAGTTAGGGCATTTTTGCGTTTAGAGTGCGTTCAAAAATCCTAACTATGACGTCACAAATACCAGACCATAAAACATGGAGCCTACACAAGGAGTCCGAACTGCATGTAAACAAGAATCTTCCTAAAGAAAGTAGGCGCTGGTGTCCCGTTTATTCTGAAACAATTGACTAATTTGTACCGAAACTCTACCAAAAGAGCAGACGTCAGGACGCATCAACAATCAGCGCCGCAGGTGGTGAAAAAAAAAAGACTTAATTTGTGCAATTTAGAGGGCAGGTTTTATCAATTTTCCCTATTAAGTTCGGGCTCCTTGTGTAGGCTCCATGCCATAAAACTATATCGCTGAGCTAGTTATTCAACGTGGTTAATAGTCTTTCTCTTTTTAATATATATTTTTCTGTTTCGATCTGTCAAAAAGTTGTTTACATTTGAAATTTAAAATATTTTAAGTAGGTACAATTGCTCTTAAACCGAATTAACCTTATTTTGTATTAAACATGTAGGAGAATTGGATAACGTGTACTGAAAAAACTAGTACCTATAGAAAAAGAATATACTAGGTATAAGAAGAGGCAAAGAAATTTATTTACACCGGTAAAAGCATAGAAATTAAATATAAATAGGTAAAAACACATTTCAAAAATTATAGGTTATGAACAAGTAAACAACAGGGTTGGGTCAGTAGAAAACCTTAGGTAATTTACCTTGGTAGAAAAGGGTAGAAAACTTGTTTTCGACTTGCGTCGAAAACCTATAGGGTTTTCTACCTACGTAAATTACCTTATTCGACCTTCTCCTTCCACTTCTCTATAATTGATAAAAATTTGCCCTCATGCCAAAAATTATGTTGGGGTCTCCCAACCAAACGCGGCCCTTTTTTTCCCACCATAATAATGTTAAAAAACTCCAAATAACTTCAAATTTATGGTAGGTGTCTGATTTTTCACAACATTTAACAAATCATAATAAACAACAAACTTGCATAACCTCACATCTTTTGATATTTGACAGTATTCTACTTTTTTACGTTTTCTACCGTCGAAAACGTCGAAAAAGGTTTTCTACATGTCGAAAACAAAAATGTAGGTAGATACCAGTGGCGGATTTACCAGCAGGCTGAGTAGGCTCGAGCCTAGGGCGGCAGATTTTGGGGGCGGCAAATTTGGGGAACGATTTTTTTTTTACCTCATAGGAATCAAAAAGATTTTTCTATGACGGTTTTCTGATGTCTTACAGACTTTTCTCTCTCACTTGTCATTGCACATTCCGAGAGTAGCAAACTTCCATATTCTAGAGTAAAACAGCTAGTTCGCCGCCCCTCAACCAGTACACGGAGAGATAAATTTTGCCAAAATAACTATCCAAAGTATTGTTAAATGACGTATAGTGAATTTAGTCAACTGTTTTATTAAACTGAGGATCTGTATAGCTGATTTAGCCATACAAATCCTCAGTTTAATAAAACAGTTGACTAAATTCACGATACGTAATTTAACAATACTTTGGATAGTTGTTTTAGCAAAATTTTTCTCTCCGTGTAATCGGCCTCTCGCCTCTGCGCCCTTTGCCCACACTTCTTATGAGTGAAAAGAGCGAAATTGTAAAAAATATGCCCCTCTTCCCACTAACAACCCATACATGCCAGTCTTACTACTGGTTGGAGGCTACGAACTGGATGGTTTGTATATAATTTTTCGTTTTTGATTCGAATATAATGAATAATTTAGTGAATAATTTTACCGATTTCAATTTTATGAATCGACTATTATGTGTTTCACATGCACTAGTAGCTTCAGAAAATTCGATTGGAATTCAAAAAAAAATCTTTGTGCATAGAGTCGGAATTAATGAACAAGATTACTTACGACGACATCATCGATGATTTTGCCAACAAAAAATCGCGCAAAAAGGCATTGTAACGAACTTCTATTTAGTCGTAAGTAATCTTGGTCATTAATTCCGACTTGACTGAGTCGATTATTTTTAACTGTTTGAAAGCGCAATAATATAATAATATGTATTATGTATTATGTATTAAGGGCATAAAAAGGTTTTTATGGTCCGAGGCGCTATTTCGAGCCCGAGCGCGTTAGCGCGAGGGCTAGAAAAGCGTCATAGGACCATAAAAACCAGTTATGCCAGCAATGCATACAAAACTTTATGCACGATAAATATATTATTATTTTTAATATATTATTGTTTTTAAAGACGTTTACGTCAAAGAATTTTTGTTATAATTGTCATATTATAATGTCATCGTGCATAAATATTATTGACATCAGTCAGTTTAAAGATGAATGAAATTGAGGAAGCAACATAAACATGACTAATTGTAATAACTGTATTGTTAATATAAATTTAAAATAAAATAAGCTCATAGTTTTGCGCCTAATGTTTTTAATTTTTGACGTTTCATTATAGCCCGCTGGGTCATAATAACGCCCGCGGGCTACAAAAAGACGTTAACGTCAAAGAATTGTCATATTATGTCATCGTGCATAAAGATTATTTATTCACGTTTACCAAATGTTCATTATTATGTAAATAGCATACATTACCCCGCCCATACATGATTGAGCTTTGATTAGCTCAAAAATATACCGAAAAATTATTTTACGTGCAATTTCAACGAAATTGTTGCATTGTAAAAATAATGTATGATATGAGGCAGGGGCGGCAAAAACTATTCAGCCTATACCTTGAAAATTTGTAAATCCGCCACTGGTAGATACCCAACCCTGGTAAACAAATGTCAAATGTTAGAAACCTAACCATGGTTATATGAATTAACTGTGACGTCATGACTTATTTAACCGTAGTATTACATAGTATTTACGCGAAAAAATGACTTTAATAAATTTGTTGTTTCTTTGTTAAACAGTGTTCGGTTGGGTTGGGTTGGTTGGTTTGTTTTAGTTTTATCGTAACATAAAATCTACTAGAAGTTGTCGAACTTTTTTTATTTCATAAATTTGTTGTTCCTTTGTTAAAAAGTGTTTTATTTTTATACTATAAAATTTATAGTAACATAAATTTGCCCATTTTAGTTGGGTTTTTTGTTCAATGGGGCGGGGTCGGTTGGGCTGTGTTGTTGAGTTTGGGATGGTTTGGGTTTATGACGTAACTAACGTGCCTTTAACATTTCAAATCGCGGCACGTTAGCGTGCCTTTAGTCACAGCGAATCCTATAGTCGTTTTTTCGCGTAAATACCATGAAATACTATGGTCATTAAACTTAACCTTGGTTAATACTATGAACTTAATAGTTAAGGCATTTTTGCGTTTAGAGTGCGTTCAAAAATCCTAACTATGACGTCACAAATACCAGACCATAAAACTATATCGCTGAGCTAGTTATTCAACGTGGTTAATAGTCTTTCTCTTTTTAATATAAATATTTAATATGTTTATGTAGGAATAATGTTGTGTGCTAAACATATCTTCTCCAAAACATACCGCCAACCTTCGTCTTTTTCTTTGGGGTTCCATTCTAAATTTTGAGTTTCACAATAATAATTTTCGTATAAACGTTAAACACTGTTGGATTTTAATTATGGTAAACAACAGTGAAGAACTGTTTATATATAAAAAGAGGTATAGAAAAGGTAGGTATAAGAACTAGGGTTCATAGAAAAAGAATATACAAGGTAAAAGAAGAGGCAAAGAAATTTATTTACACCTGTAAAAGCATAGAAATTAAATATAAATAGGTAAAAACACATTTTAAAAATTATAGGTTATGAACAAGTAAACAAATGTCAAATGTTAGAAACCTAACCATGGTTATATGAATTAACTGTGACGTCATGACTTATTTAACCGTAGTATTTCATAGTATTTACGCGAAAAAACGACTATAAGTAATAATATAATAATAATAAGGTTAAGTCAGTTATAAATGTATTTATGTGTATATTTAATAATACATTTTAAAAATGTATCACTCTTATAATGTAATAAACACATATTTAAGTATATGTAAGATAACCTGGTTCAAACTTAAATCAGTGGATATGCGTAAATCAGTTGATATAAATAAATCAACGTTTCTGCATACGCCCCTATAAATTTTCATAAACAGCTGTTTATGAAAATTTAATACTATAGTATAGTATTAAATTTTTATAAACAGCTGTTTATGAAAATTTATAGGGGCGTATGCAGAAACGTTGATTTATTTATATCAACTGATTTACGCATATATATACTGGCAGGACCAGGGTTGGGTATCTACTTACATTTTTGTTTTCGACATGTAGAAAACCTTTTTCGACGTTTTCGACGGTAGAAAACGTAAAAAAGTAGAATACTGTCAAATATCCAAAAATGTGAGGTTATGCAAGTTTGTTGTTTATTATGATTTGTTAAATGTTGTGAAAAATCAGACACCTACCATAAATTTGAAGTTATTTGGAGTTTTTTAACATTATTATGGTGGAAAAAAAAGGGCCACGTTTGGTTGGGAGACCCCAACATAATTTTTGGCATGAGGGCAAATTTTTATCAATTATAGAGAAGTGGAAGGAGAAGGTCGAATAAGGTAATTTACGTAGGTAGAAAACCCTATAGGTTTTCGACGCAAGTCGAAAACAAGTTTTCTACCCTTTTCTACCAAGGTAAATTACCTAAGGTTTTCTACTGACCCAACCCTGGGCAGGACTGATCGCAACGTTGCATAATTTATTTTTGGTGAAAAAGCATGCTTAAAAATTATGTTACTTAAATTATGTTGAAATATTGTAAAAAAGGAAATTATGATACAATTATGGTATTATGGTACGCTAAAAAATAGAAGGTTCAGACCTTTAAAATAATGGTACAATAATTATGGTACGGTTGGCAACACTGCTGGCATTTAGCCATTGTGGATTGTGGATTGTGGAAAACCTTACATTTATATTTCACTAAATTTATTTTTATAAAATAGATGTCGCTATTTAAAATTGCCACGTTTCGATTTTAGTTTTTAATAAAATTAATTATTTTCAATTAAAGAACTAAGAATTTTCTAAAATAATAGTTTAAATTTGCATTATGATCAGTTATATTAAAATCCTATTAACAAAAATGTCTTGTCGACGCTTTCTCCAGTCACGTGACAGATACCTACCTTTTCTATGCAGTGGCAGTGCCACAGTTCCAGTTATCCAGTTATCTCTGCACAGTTCTTTCGTTGTAAATTTATGGCAGATTCACGATGACGACCCAGCAAATTCAACCAAAACGTGGAGTTGTAAAACAAGTAAGTACAATTTGTTAAATAATTTAATAGAAAATACAACCATTTAATGGATATTTTATTTGTTGCCTGTATTTTATTAAATTTACTTTATTTTGATGCCTAGTTGGCAGAAGTACATTAGTACATATGGATAAGATTACTGATGTGGAATGTATGTCCTGTTAACTTTTATTTATTACCTCATATTTGTCCATATAAACGAAATATTTAAATAATAACACTTTTTTAAATGAATTTATAAGTAATCCAAGTTAACTTTTAGGTCCTCTCTGGGGATTCTGTTATTATAAGAGGACTTACAGGCGCCCCTCCACCAGAAAAACAAATTAACTTTTCTGGAATTGTTGCTCCAAAATTAGCCAGGAGAGCTGGAGAATCGTAAGTACTTTAATATCTAAGAAATTGATAAGTTGGGCAACAACCTTAAGTTTTATTTTTTATTTATATTAACATTCATTTTAATCCCAAAGGGGGCATAATGATTATAATTAGGAACTATTTTCCACATCAAAAAGTCCCACCTTGACATTTGAATACAAATAGTTGGAGGTTATCTATCTGTCAGTATAATGCTTATTTCATCTAATTCAAAAAATAATACAATATACACTGCTCACAAATTGAAGTGGAATTTTTTAAAATAGGGTTGTGTTAAAATCGCTGTAAAATTTTCAAAAAGCATCCGATTTGGAAACAGCTTTTACTTATTTAAAGAAAAGTGTTCTTATTTTCATAAACTGATAAAATCATTTAAGTCATAACATATATATGTCTAATATAGGGTGATAAAAAAGTCCTACAATTTTGTTCTTTTTAACTCTAGTGCAGGAGTTTTTTTAATCACCCTGTACACTTACACTAAGTTGCATCTTACAACCTGTGGTATGTGTAACCAATATTTTTTTAGTTTTTTCCTTTTAATGACGTATATACAAAAATATGATTTTTTTTATTAATGGCGTAATTTTTCATTTGAGTTTTTCGAATTTTTACCTAGGGGGCTTTAAAAATAGACAGATATCAAGTACTTAAGTATACAAACTAATCCTTGTCAAGTTGACAGTTGCTTATAAACAATAAAAAAGCATAATGCCGTTACAAAGATTAACTCCAGAGCAGTTTGATATTGTGGCAAATCTTTTACAAAATGGTACGAGGCAGAAATTGCAAATTTGCTCAATGTGTCACCGAGTGTTATTAATAGGGCAAGTCAACGGCTCCTGGCAACAGGTAGTGCCCGAATTACACATGGTGGAGGTCGCTCAAGAATAACTTCAGCAGCGGAAGATCGTCTTCTTGTTAGACGGGCAAGAGCCAATCCTACATTTTGCGCAAGAAAGCTTCGATATGCTACAGGACTTGAAGTTTCGACACAAACGATCCGAAACAGACTCACGATAGGCAACTACGTGCCCGAAAACGTTTCAAATGCCCCATGTTGAACGTGGCTCATCGTGTAGCCCGAAGGACATGGGCTCGCGAGCATTCCGGATGGACAATTGAACAGTGGAGACGCTGTCTTTTTACAGAAGAAAGCAGGATCGGTATGTATTCTCGTCTGGAGGGAGCCTGGAGCTCGTTGTCAAGAAAGAAACATGGCTCCGCAGGAACCTTTCAATGGCGGATCAGTGATGGTCTGGGGTGGTATTTCGCATGACAGTCGCACTGACCTTGTAGTGTTCATCAACTCTACGATGAACGGTGAACGGTATAGAGATCGGATTATCCAGCCTATCGTCGCACCATTCATTGAACAACATGGCAGAAAATTATGTTTTTGTGGATGATAATGCTCGTCCCCATAGGGCTAGGATTGTGAATCAAGCGATATTGGATAACAACATCATACGAATGGCCTGGCCTGCAAGATCGCCTGATTGCGATCCAATAGAGCATGTTTGGTCTCATTTAAAAAAAAGATTACTCGATCGTAATGAGGATTTTTTAAATTTGAAGCAGCTAGAAAATGCTGTTGTAGAAGAATGGCAAGATATACCACAACTTTTAATTAATAACCTAATAGATAGACTAGTTGCAGCAGTGATGAGAGCTCGAGGAGGGCCTACTAGGTACTAAACTGCCGACTTTATATCAAAAGTATAACTTACAATAAATATAAACTTATGTTGTTAAAATTTGTATTCATTAAATGCAAATGAAAAATTACGCCATTAATAAAAAAAATCATATTTTTGTACGTACGTCATTAAAAGGAAAAAACTAAAAAAATATTGGTAACACATACCACAGGTTGTAAGATTCAACTTAGTGTAAGTGTACAGGCCCGCACAACATTTTTGATTTCATATTGTACTCATATGGACGTCAAGTCATGATTTATAAGTCATGCTATGACTTCATTTGAGCATACATATGAGTCCTCATAGCGATCTCATGTTGTGGTCATGTCATGAGCCAGGATCCAAAAATTGGGTAGCGTGCATGCGCATACGATTCAGGAATCCCCGCGAATTTTTAAATCAATAATCAATTGAATCGCTCGTTCTTAAAACGACCAAGTCAAATTCATTTTTTACCACAAGAGCTTCTACATGTAGAATGCATAACATGTAGAAGCGTTTCATGGTAAAAAGCGAATTTTGTAAAAAAGTAACCTATGTCGTTTTTGAAACGAGAGATTCAATTATTGTTTAAGGTAAAAAAAATTAAAATTAAAAAACAAATTGCATATTTTTATAGTTGTTTATTAGTTAATTAAAAAGCAAATTTTGTAAAAAAAATTACTTATGTGGTCCCTGGTGACTCTTGGGTTTTTTTTGCAAGCCATGGTTCTTTTGTTTCGCAAGGTATCGTTGTTTTGTAGTCCTAAATACCTCTTCTACATGTTCTTTAAATTCGGACATGTCTGATGGACCTTGTGCAGTCCATGGCAGCTTCTGTAAAATAGAAAATAGTACAATGCATTTCTACGAACCACAGGTATAAATTTTGGCTTCGATTGCACTCAGCTGTGCTGTCATTATTCAATAAGTTTCTTGCCGTTAATTGTCAAAATTTGCATTTAATGCCTATATTAATCACGCACATAAATTATAAACCCAGATAAACATATCACATAAATTTAATTAACGTTCGTATTTCACACGTTTCAATTTTGCAGACATTACAAAAAAACCTAGGTTATATTTTGAGGTTAAATTATTAATAATTATTATTTAATAAATAATTATTAATTTTGTTAACAAAAAACCAATATAATACTTAATAAATTCATGAATAAGTAAAATGTAAATTTGAAAACAAACCGACTGTCAAATAATTTAATAAGCGAGGACATGTCACATGTTTAAATTAAACAAAAAAAAACGAAACTTACCTTCTTCTTCCCAACACGATCTGTGCACTTATATTATAATTATAAACTATTATAAATAATTATTACAACCATAGAAACAGAATATTACAACCACTTAAACAAATAAAACAATCGGGCAAAGACAACACAGCTTGTTCCATGCGCATTCATATGCGCAGCCGGTGGAGATCTTCGAAGCGCGAATATTCAAAAGACATCACGGCGGATCATGCCGTGAACTCATCATGAGTTCTACACGAGCACAAAACCGTGAAGTCATGACATGAGGTGGTTCATGAACTCATGAATGTTGTACGGGGGGTGATTAAAAAAACTCCTGCACTAGAGTTAAAAAGAACAAAATTGTAGGACTTTTTTTATCACCCTATATTAAGCCGGGTCTACAATTGTCGCAGAACGCAGATCGCAGAACGTAAGCATGCGCAAAGCACCCAGCGACGTTGCGATGGAGCAAGGTCACACGTCGCAGAAAGTTAATTCATCTTCAATAACGTCTTTCGCAGGCTTTTATGTTAGCCAATCATAGAGCGCTAGAATCTATCTGTCTCTGTGCTCTCTTTCTTTCAATAATCAATACTTTTATTTAGTTCCTTTTCCTATTTCGCGGTTATTTTTAAATTTTTGGTGTAATTCTCAGAAATTATTCGAAAAACGTAATTGTCCAAATTTAAAATAATTTTCAATATTTTCTAAAGACCATTTAAATAAATGTAGGTATGTATATTCTTATTACTATTGAATATTCATACCTATATTGATTTAAATAGGTAGTTTTTAGGAAATATCAAAAATCATTTAGAATTTTCAAATTATGATCAAAATAATTATTTTAAATTTTAAATAATATTAACTAATTCTATGATAATCTAAACAATTTTTCCAATCCAATATTGGAAATATTTGTGAAACACAGATTATAAAGGTTGGTGTGAAATACTTAACCCAGTGTCACCAACACTTTACTTTTTATTCCCTAAAAATTTGCATTTTTTCATTTATATTATATATATAATATACAAATATAATTATATATAAACTCTTAAACATTTTTTACCTAAAAATAAACCCCAAGCAGTTTTTTAGAGATAGGGATCCATTCATATCTCTGTTTTTTTCACTAAATTTAGGGAAAACACTTCTACGTTGGCCACACTGTGGTTATAAAGAAAACAATTGCTCTGATTGGTCAATAAAAGCACATCGCGCGACAATTGTAGACAGCTCACATAACAACGACGTGTGACCTTGCTCCATCGCAACGTGGATGGGTGCTTTGCGCATGCTTACGTTCTGCGATCTGCGTTCTGCGACAATTGTAGACCCGGCTTTAGACATATATGGGGCAAAATTTGCCAAGTGTTCCAGGTGAAAAAAATTTTGTCACCGATTTTGTTTAAACTTTACTTATTTGTTGTCCTTATAACGAAGAATCATAGCATAATTTTTTTTTGCTCTAGGATTGTTCATTCAAGATTTATGGATTATTGAAATTTATCGATTTTTTACTTTTTGGTAAAATCGCTTTTTATTTAAAAATTCATAACTTCTGTTCATCTCTTTATTAAATATTTCAATTTAACCACCTTAAATGATTTTTTCCGTACTTTTCAATGGGCTATACCGTTTTTGCAAAAAAATAAAAATTGCAATTTTTTTTTGAAATTTTGCAAAATTTTGCATTTTTTGAAACAATGTGTATTTTTTAATTTATTTTTAAATAGCATAAAATCCAAGTTTATTATGTTACCTTTAAATAAAAAAAAAATTTGAGTGGGCCCAACATGTAGAAGGGAAGTTTATCATATTTGAATGCCTCACGGTCTAGCCATCGAATAGCTACTACACTGCCGTATGCGTTTATACCTAGTAGATGCGAGTAAACGAATAAAAAATGATAATTTAAAATGTAAAATTATGTTTGAGTAGTCAATGATGTATTTTAAATATTTACACTGCCGCACGATATAGTTTTTTTTATTGTGTATTAGTCCTTCGGAGGGGACTTTAAGCCCGCGGTCCGTTCCTACCCCTAACCCGCACA